ACACGCGCACGCGTGCACATACACACTCTCATGCTGTTAATCAGGACTTTAGCTATCCATGCACAGCCAAAGGTTGAGTCTATTATATTTCCATATTCCCTCAGTGGGAAAAGTATTTAGCTATGATTTTCCAAGCACATGTAAGCTTTGTTGGAAATCCTCCCATCTTCATCTCTGTATTCGTTCTGGAGAGGAGATGGAGCCTGAGCAGCCAGTCTCCCCTGCCCGGTGCTAAGACACGCGCCTTAAGTCCACTTCCTGCACAGCCATACTGCTCCCCAGTGTTCTGGAAGTTTTACCCCAAGTTGCAAAAGCCCAAGAGAAAAGATAGCAAGACTATTTGTTACTCATTTCTAGAAAAAAAGAGCATTTTGCTCTGTTGAAAGTCATATGCATTTCTGTGTATCCGGAAGGCTTAAATAAGAAAACTATTCTTTGAAAAAATAAAAAATAAAGCTAATAGAAATGAGATTTCTATTATTGCTGCAGTTTTCATAAAATGAAATCAGCTTTAAGTTATGCTGCTGTCTCTTTTGTAGAGAGTTTGGAAACCTGTTAAATGAATAACATAGTACAAATTAACTGATTTCTATTCATGAGTCAGATTATAAGTCTATTAATTATATTTATTAATTTTGTTAAATTAAATTCAGAAAGCCAATGCATGCCATTTGTGTCTGAGAGCAAAGAGTCTTTCCCTTGCCTTGCAGTTTAGAAGTGTTTCTTACTCTTTACCATCCATGCCCATCTAAATCAGCCATCACTTCAAACCTTGATCTTCTTAATGCCTTTTTTGAGAAGTTTCACCAGTGGTTTTCTTTACTTGATGCAAATATTATTCCCAAAAGAAACTGCCTAAAATTATTAGTACTTTATCAAAAAAAGTGGGAACTTAAGTTTCTTGTTGTTTGTGCTGATTTTTGTTTTGTTTTTGAGAAATGAGTTCATTTTGCATTTATAAAAACATGTACACAAAGATGAATTTCTGGTGTCTACTGAAAACAGTATTAATTCAAAGACTCTCTGCAGCTTCATTATTGCAAAGGGAGTTTCATCATATTGAACATCAAACACATTCTTATAGAACATGTCCTAATGAGAGATAGTTCCCTCTGGTTAACGTTTTCTTGTGCACAAATTTCCCCTGGAGACCTGAGTTAAGGATGCTCATTCTCATTCTAATAACTGAGGGTGGAGGCCAGATAGTTGGCCTTTTACCTGTACCCAGACATTTCTGATGTGGAAGCTACACAGAACAGACTAAGAAACTCTGTCCTAGGTTTTCTAAATTCCTCTTAGTAATGTAATAAGGAAAAAAAGAGCATTATCTTACCAGCTTCTGAGATTAGTATGGATGGCTCTTCCTTGAATTCTTCCATTTCAGACCTATTCTAGTGGAGTTTGGGTCAAGACCACACCTAATTTTTTATCCGTCTCTGAAAATTAAGATAGAAGAAGCCACTGAAATGAGGGCTGAGATTGGGGTAATTATTAGGTAGGAATCATAGAAGGAGCCCTTGATAAAGCTATGAATACGCCCAAAAACAATATGAAAGGAAGGCAGGAGGTTGGGGACACCACAGAAATAGGTGACCAGGCCAGTCTGTTTTGGACAAGGGCTTTTGGAATCTGTCTTCAGTCTGAAAACCAACAAAAATCCACAGTATGCCTACCTAATTGCTCCTACTAAAAATGCAGTGAAACACTCTCAGCCAGAAATACTAAGGTTCCTGCAGCCGTGTGTGTGTCTACAAACACCCCATCATTTTCAGCGGTTACAGACATGAGGGCGGGAGTTTCCCGCCCTGCACTGATAAAGTCCAAAATCACAATTTGTTTAAAAACTGTTTTTTGGACCAGATTCAGTATCTACTTAAAAGAAAATGTGTCAGGGTGAGATGCAACATAATTATTGCATGGCTTTTATTAAAGGTATTTCATTGTGTATAATGCTTCTCTGAAATAGAAATGTAACACAATTTTCATTATTCATGTTTTTTTCATATTCATACAGATATGACTGTATAATTAAAATTGGTCTTCTGCCATGAGCATAACTCTGAGTCCCTCAGTAATAAACATTTTCTAAGACCCGAGGGTTTATATGCAGAAATCATCTTCACAAAACAAACTGGAAAACAAGGCTCTTGTTTTTGGAGGGTCCTTGCCAAGGGCTTTGTGGTGTTTATTGACATTTAGATCAGATACAAATCAGGAAACTTCATTATAAAATGGTCCTAATCCTCCATAAGTGGATTGATTAAAATATAAATTTTAATCAATTTATATTTATTCATTTTCAAATTAAATAGAGAACTCTTGTTCTCTTTCAATGAATCAAGAGCAACCATTCAGGGCTGAACAATGGAAATGTGGGAAGTATTGTTCTGGGTAGGGGCTCAGCTGGTTAGACTTTAAAATCTGTGTGATAATCATGGGCAAATATAAACTCACTAAACTGTTGAATTAAACACTGTTTTCATTTAATTATGTCCAAGAAATAGTTTAATGTATCAGTTGATAGGGTAGCTCCACTTTAACTGATTCATTGTTTTGAAATAGCTATTGTCTGGTAGGTGATGGAACCTAATAAATTTTGTGTAAGAGCCTGAAGAGAACAATTTCATCTTCCTGTGGGAAACAATATCAGAGCAATTTTTATTGTATGCCTCAGGTATTTGGTATTGTCCAAGTTTAATGTTTTGGGAAAGCTGTAGATACTAACAAAACAGAAACTCAGGAGAAGTAGATAAATCTTGTAAATTGAGTTGATACGTAATCACTCATTAAACTCAGTATGGTCATCATTTCTCTCTGGCAGAGAGCTGAGAACTAGCTGTGAATGTGGTTCTAGAGGAAGGAGCAGGGTGGTACGTTAACAGATGGCAGACGTTTGCAAGACTCAGATCTGCAATTCTGCTACAGGCAGATAGAACTAACTGATGCAAGACAGGTGATTCTTCCGACAATGGTAATTCACCGTCAGTGAAGCACAGCCACGTTAACTGAAAGTAAAGAGACACAGTTGCACTTCATTGAAAAAATTATCTGACCTGATTTAGGAAACTAATGCAACAGCTCTTCAAATAATGCCATTTTGTGCAGTCATTTTGTTATAACAATGAGATGCTACAGGAACGGAATTCTTGTTTATATCAATTAGCCTGCGGTAAAATTGGTTTTGTTGTTCGCTTAAGTCACAGAACCTATCAATAAACTTAAGTAAGGGCTTACTGTACTAGTAATAAGTCAATATGTATGGTTATCAGTAAATGTTTGGCACTTTCCAAGGCAGAAAAGTAATCTCTGGACATATTCACCAAAGTGTATATGGAACCCAAACATTGTGGGTTTTTCTTTAAACATGCACAGTTAACTTTATTTCATTATTTTCATTTAGAACCTGACATTATCAGACATTATCAAACACAGAGACATTTTTAAGAGTTCTGTATCACGGGAATTTAAACCTAAAAATATTCATAGCTTCATAGGTTCAAGGTCTATAAATTGAAATCGAATAATTGGAAATGTTTTCAATATGGGAATTCTACGATCGAATACTGTATTTTGCTGTGTATAATGTGCAGCCATGTTTTTGTGCACATTATATGTGGGATTATTGTACCCATTATTATACCCATGGCATGTAATCATTATGCCCATGCATAAGGCACATCCTTATTTTTCCCTCAAAAATTTGGGCAAAAAAGTGTGTATTATATACACTGCAAAATATGGTAAATAGCAAAAGGACCTCATAGGAACAATATTTTATTCCTTGTGGATTTTCATTTTACTTTCAGGATCTAAACAAAGACCATTGTTTAAATGTTTTAAAACCATTTAAAAGTTGTTGAAGTTGACTGTACAAACTTCAAACTGTGTGACATCAACAACTCCTGAAAAGAGGGTGTGTGTACACACACTTTCTCTCCTTCTCTTTCTCTCTCAGTTTCATAATATGCTTTCCATTTTGGCTAATTCTTTTTTTGGTCTTTATATGAATGTATAGTGCTTCAAGGAGATCACCATTAAAGCCAATCCTGGCATTTAAGTCCCTGAGAAGTTCAAGTTTATTCTGAGAGAAATATAGATTAAATAAGAGTAAAAATACCAGTAAAAGAGAGACTGTATTTCTTTTTAAAAATTTTTATTGAATTTATAGGAGTGACATTGGTTAATAAAACTATATAGGTTTCCGGTGTACGGTTCTATAACACATCATCTGTATATTGTATTGTGTGTTCACCACCCCAAGTCAGGTCTCCTTCCATCCCCATTTATCCCCCCTTTAGCCTCTTTTAGAGAGACTGTACTTCTAAGCAACAGAAATTCCGTATCACAAGAAATTATAAACCAGATGGTCAGGAGATAAATCGGTATCTGAAAAAGATAATGTTTTCATGTGGGCCAAGAAATAGCTCCCTTGAAGTTAACCAAAATAAAGATAGCCAATATTCCAGTATTTTTGCTAAATTTTTAATGAGTATAGACAGATACAGGTTAAAATTCAGAACTTGTTTGTGTAGGATTCATCAGAAAAGCTAATATATTACGATTCTTGCTTTAATATCCCACTGAGCATATTCCAGGAGAAGGACACAGAAGTAGTCAGAGAAGTGGTCCATTTGGACCCGCACTGTTTACCCAACAGATTTTCCCAAAGTATATACTAATTCAAGTAGTTTCTTCCTTTTCTTAAAACCCTACACTAATTTCTCCCATAGTGTCAAATTCCTTGGGTTGGTACAAAACACCCTTTATGATCTGGCCTTATTCCTGGCTTTTATTACATTCTCCATAATTACCGGTCTCCTGTGTGCCTCTCCCACTATATGGTGATCTTGCAGAGGGTAGGGACTGTATCTTACTCACTCTAGTATCCCCAGTGTTAGGCCCACAGAGAGCTTCAGAAAGTATTGGTTGAGTGGTTGAATAGATAAATGGAAATGCTGTGATACTGCTAAGCCCTAACATGGCTGTTTTCCCTCCCCAAGGACTTTGGCATTATGTTCCTGCATCACCTGGTGTCTATTTTCTTGATTACATTTTCATATGTCAACAATATGGCTCGAGTAGGAACCCTGGTTCTCTGTCTTCATGATTCAGCCGATGCTTTTCTGGAGGTAAAAGTTTTTTTCATCTTTAAGAGTACAAAATCTAAAATTGAGGAAGTCCCAAAAATCATTGCTTCTTCTGTGTTATGCTACATGGTGCTGGGGACAATAGTATTTGCCTGCTTTGAAACTGCAGAGTATTTCTTGGTAGGTAAAATTGGTGAAAGTGAGATTTTAAATTAATATATACATTTTTGTATAAAAAATGTTCATCCAGCAACCACACATTGATGTTTCCCTCTCTTGTTCCCTCCTTTCCCTTCTCTCTAAAAATAAATTTATAAAATCTTTTTAAAAATGTTCATCATGTTAGCATTCATAATTAATAAAATAATGAACACCTTTATATTCCACATTTAACAAATGAATGCTTTACAGTAGGAAAAGTATTATTTGAATATGTTTTATTTCTGGTGTTATGAGTTTCACACTGATTTATCCAAAAAGTGTATATAATTCAGTTCAGTTATTAATGGGAGTTATACATGCTGATGAAATCAGTTAGTAGTCATAGTGTTATTGCCAGTATACATATTATCTAGATTTGTACAGTGAAAAATGTATTCAAATTACAAATTATATATAAAAGTTGTTTTCTATGCATATAAATAAAAATGTATCTGAGAATACATTGGCTACACTTTGGTTAACTTTCCACTCCATTATCACTTAGAATTATTAAAGTAGCAAAAAAAGATTCTTCTAGTGTATTTCAAAAGATAAGATTCCCAGCAAAATTTTGATGTAGTATTTACTTTTAATTGCACACTCAGTGATGTTATATAATTAAATAAAAGTTTACTTCACTTTAAACTGGGAAATGTATGTAACTGGTAAAAAAAAAAAACTTACCAAAGTAAAAATTCCATGCAGAAGTGTATTCTGATTTTTGATTCCTGTTGGCCCACAGTCTGCCCCTTTGAAGCATTTACTGTCATTGTGGATATAGAATAAAAGTGCCCTCAAATAATGATCTGTTATCGCAATAAAAGCAAAATTTTCCTCTACCGTGAAACTGAATCTACTATAAAGGCAGTTAGTCAAGGTTTGATGTACTTATAGCATTCTTTTAAAAAAAAAAGAAACTGGGTCTCTCTAAGTTTATGAAACAGAAAAAAAATAGTCCTAATGGGCTAGGTTATGTCAGATAATAGTTTGGCACTATGATTTTTTAAGTGCTTCAAGCTAGGCTCTATTCCACTTTTTTTTAAAGGAGAAATATAATTAGTATAAGGGCAATATCCTGAAAATCAGTTACCATTTGGTTAAATCTTAAGTATGCTTGGAAGCAGAAATTTATACAGCACTCTACAGTTTTGAAATCAGTCCTGTACAATCTGCCAACTTCAATCTCTGTGAAAACAGCTGGCATGATGCCTGACAGAGCAGCAATTCTGAAAACGTTGGTTGAATCATCACGTATCACCTCAATCTAGAAAAGAAAAATAATCCAGAAATTCCAGCCTTGTAGTTAAAAGCAAATGTTCTTCATTATCTGGATCCTCTTTGATATTATAAAATATTGCCTGAGAATATCCAAGTAATGAGATATGTTGACTGTCAACTCTTTGAAGTGGGAGCTATGGCCTAGACATTTCAAAAAAATTGATGTTTAATGCTTTTTTATTGAATACTGGTGAATGAATATAAAAAAACTACATGGCTACCTAGCCAGAAGGAGACAGAAGATGCTTTTTCTCAATATAATTGGTGGTGTCATACCTAAAGTATTCATGAAATTAAAAACTTCCACTCAGCTAATTGATATTTCCCCTTAGGAATATAGTTCTCTCATAGCTTCATATTTTACTTAAAGCTATTAAATTATAACTTCTGTGGACACAGTATACAATCTTCTCAAGTTGGACTCAGCCAATTCAACTTTCCATTAAGTGAAAAATAATGTTATTAATTCAGAAGAAATCTTCAATTTATAACCCTGTGGGAAAGGGGCTTGTAAGTTCTTGGTGAAAATGTAAAAAAGAGGTGACCAGTCACAATGTTGTTTCCAGTGTTACCTGTTTTTACTTAGAATCATCCGTAAATAGAGGGTAGAGAAAGGGATGTGATTTCTTCCCTAGACTAATTCATAGTATAAAAAGTAGTCACTTAAATCAGTACCAGAAATATTAGAGTATTTCTTACATACTCTTGCAAAATTAGTGACTTTCATCTAGAAAGTGAGCCATTAATGTAACATTGAAAATTATACCTAAATGGATTCATTGAAAAAACATGATCTTGAAAGTCTTCATTTCTAAATTTATGCAAAAAAGGCAAGAAACCGTCTCCCCAGAATACTCATTATGCCTGTTTAAAGAAAACCTGTAATTCTAAGTAGAAAGGAGAAAAAAATACAGAAAGGCTTCATATATTTTATATAAATTTTGTTGTCTTAGTGTTTAGAACTCATTAAAGGTTTAAAGGATTATATAACATGTTCTGTTTTGACCTGTTTTGCCAAGTTCCTGTTCTGTTCTGTTTGGCTTGCTAATATCATCTATAATGCAAGAATTTTCTTATTTTTCTGTTTTCCTGAAATCAACCATATAATTGAATTTTTCAGGTTGCTGAATATTTTATTAAATCTGTGACAGTCAGTAGTTCTACTTATGGCTAATGCTCCATTTCACTGGACTTATGAGTAATTTATAAATACTGATGCATGGCATTTCAAAGTAGCAGGCAGTTTTATGCATCTGATAAGTCATAACTGATAGAGACTCATGCATATTCAAAGAAGTTTTTATCAGTTCAACTAAATTAATATGTCATATTCCTTTCTTTCATAGGCTGCCAAAATGGCAAATTATGCCAAGTTTCAGAAAATTTGTGATCTCCTGTTTGTTATGTTTGCCATGGTTTTTGTCACCACACGACTGGGTATATTTCCTCTCTGGTGAGTATGCCGGTCTTCTCTCCAGTAGAGCCTCCCCTTCCAGACAGGCTTTATGAATCATTTTCCTTTTGCATTTTACTCCATACTTAGTAAGTGGTTTAAAGAAAGTGAGGGGATCCTATTGCAATAACTGTGTATGGTGTCAGAAGAGGTGCTAGGCGTCCTGGGGTGATCACCCCGTAAGCTATATAAATGTTTAGTCACTATGTTGTACACCTGAAACTAACATAATATTGTATGTCAACTGCAATGGAAAAAATTATTTAATTAATAAATAAATTATATTATTTTGGCAGGGTGGGGGGGGACGAAGGAAGGGATTCAAGAAGCAGCTTGGTTTCTTCTTCCAGAAGAGGGTCACATTCTTTACTACTATTTTTAGTTACAAAAGGTGTGGCTATGTAGGTTCTGATGCCATAGAAAGCTGTCTTCCATTTTTGGGTCCAAAAACCCAAAAGGGAATATGATTAAAAAACCTTAACCATGAAAGTTGGAATTAATAGAGAAAGTAAGGCATTGAACCAGTTATCTACCAGAGATGCTCCTGTACCAGGGGTTCACAAAGGGTCATCCCCAGATGGGCAGCAACAGCATCACAAGAAATGCAACTTCTTGGGCCTCAACCCAGACTGACTGAATCACAGGCTCGGGAGATGGGGCCTGGCAACCTGTGTTTACAAAGCCTTTCTGCTGATCCTGCTCCCCGTTGAAGTTTGAGAACCACTCTCCTATATAATTCTTCTCCTCAGCTGTATTTATAGCTAAAGCAGAGGAAGGAATAACCTAAAATGAATCCCTAAAACGCTCTTTGGCCCCTTTATGTCTCACTGTGTTTGTTTTGTTGAGAGCTAAGAAAACAAAATGACAGATTTTGATGGAATTTGATCATCCTTTCCATAGAGAATAGGTCCACTGTCATTAATCATTCTTTGGAAGGCTATTGAACAGGGAAAAAAATGAGCCCTCCACATCACTTAAAGTCTACCATTGATGACAGAATATTTTTTCCATTTTGAGAAATTGATTTGAATGGAAAATTAAAGCAGTGGAAATGGGAGACAGCCAAGAAATGAAGAGATGCAGTAATACCTTGCTTTTTAGCCCCAAGAGAAAAATAAAGTTGGGGCTTTTAAGTGAGTAACATCTGTCACTGGGGTTCCATACACAGGTTAAACACACACACACACACACACACGCACACACACATGCACGCACGCACATTCACAGCTTCTCCTTGAGGCTTGCAGCCCTTTAGGTCATACTTATTATGAGAGTCATTTCCAAGCAGCAGCACTGTTTGTCAGCCAACAGGCATTTATAAAACCTCATTACAGTTGTATATGGTTGTAAGCAGGAAACACACTGAAGTAATTTTAAATATAATGTGTCTGTAATTATTTCGGGATTGGAGCATCTTTCAAGATTATTAGCAGAACTAGGGATAAGAATTTAAGTAAAAGAAATTCAAACAAAGTCCAGGAACTATTTCTCAAAAGAATATTAGGTAGCATTTCCTACTTCATATTTCTGAGAACCCAAATTTTAAAGAAATAAACTTCACTCTCAAGTACTTTGATTTATTTGTTTTAAGGGTAGAATTAAAACTGAGATATACCTCTTCTCCTTCCCAGTAGTTAATGTATAAAAAAAACTTCAGGTTTAGACATTAATGAGTAACCTAGAACATAGATCCCAAAATATATTATGTAATGCTACTAATCAAACACCTCATGAGTATGTTCAGTAATGATGGCATAAAGTAGCTCCTTAGAAAGGTCCTAATAATCAAATGCAAAACCAGAGCTTATATTACAATGCTTAGGGCTTCTGCTTCCCTGCCCCTCAGTGCAGCCAAGTTTTTCAAAAGGCAGCTTGAGAAGAGAAATATTTTATTGTTTATAATGCAAGAAATAATTTATATACCTGCCACCTTTATAATTGTGCTCCCTGGGAATAAGATTCTTTCCAGATGTGTCTGTAAATCATGTTAGTGCCTGGATGACCTTTGTTTTGACCCTGTTTCAATTACTAGAGTGTAATGGGCATTGTTAGCATTTAAAATTGTGATGCGAACAACAACAACAAGCAGTATTTCAGATATTTTCATTAACACTGTGAAATTATTCAAAAGTTCCTTTTCAATTGGGGAATCTTAGAATTGGGAGGGACTTTACGGGTTACTGGCTCCACATTCTTCTTCCACTCCCTCTTCTCTGGCTGGGAACTTTTCTTGTCAATTTCCCAATCAGAGAAGTATTGTTTTAGAAGTCAAGGGAGAAGTAGTTTCTTATCATGAAACAGAAACCTGGGTCCTTAAAACTTCTAAGCTAGAGGTTCTAACCCTACTTTAGAACCCCTTAAAATTGTATGAAAAACATCTGTGTGGGTGTCATATTTTTTTTTCCTGGAGGTGGAGGGCCCATGGCTTTACCAGATTCTCAAAGAGATCTGTGACCCCTACCCTCCTTAAAAATGTGCCTTTTGGAAAACAGACTAAGTATACACTGCCACTTCTAATTGAAAACTCTTAAGAATGTGAAGATTTCTCGTTTATCATTTGTAAGCTTTCCCTTCATCTGAAGCATCTTTAATCCCTTCATTTACTCCTGCTTGTCGTTCTCCTTTGTTTCTCAGCATTCCTCTCTCATCATGTTCCAACTGTGGACTGGCTGGTACAAAATAGAGGAGAACTGAAAACAGGCTTGATTTAGCCTGCATTTCTCCTGATGCAGCTTGCCGCTGCATTGGCTTTCAGCGGCTTTCCCTCTGTGCTGGCCATGACTCCGTAAACATCTGAGCTGCCGCCAGGCTAGGTCTTCTTCATCCTAAATTTACTTCGTTGTTGGGTATTTTTATTTCTAATTATGACTTGTTTGTATATTTTATTATATAAACGACATTTATTCCTGCTAGTTTTCATCCTGCTGTTTTCAGATACTCTATTTGTATAGCCCCGAACATTACAGTCTTCTGCTCTGCATCCAGCGCTGTAATTCCTTCCACCTTTATGCTACTTGCATGTATTCCTTTCATGTTCCCCTCAACCCAATGAGGGAAAAGTTGCCCCACAGGAAGCCCTAATACATGACTGAAGAATTTCCTTAAGCTGACCTCAGTTTCTCACCCGCCAGGCTTTATTTATGATTTCTTTATTTATTAGAGCCTTGAAACCGCTGATATCATGCCCAGTGTTTCTTCACATTTTTAATGTGTAATAAAGGACTTACGAAAGGTCAAAGATCTTATGAAAGTCGAGATTTACTCCGTGTTTAAGACATCCTCTGCACATGTAGAGGCAGGGTGACAAAGGAGTATGAGTCGCATCTCGCATGACGATTTTAGGAGGCCTCTGTTGGCTCCCCGTGTTTTAAGTCTACGTATGCACCCCCATTGTTTGACTATCCATCCACAACACTGAGCCTGCCAGTCTGAAGCTTCTGGTCTTCGCCTTTTCCACATTGTGTAGCTGTGGACTGTTAACCTTCCAATAAACTACCATTTTTAACGTACTTAGTGAATTTATTGGGCATTCACTGCGTACCCAGTATTGGGCTGGGTGCTGAAAGTTCAGTTAGACAACAGGGCGTTTCTCTGAACACTTGCAGCTACGTCCCTCCAGGTGCCTCCGGTATTCCAGTTTACAATTTGAGGACCTAGAGGTTATTAGGTTTTTTGTGGCCATTTATTGGAGATAAATAATATAAATGGATCATCAATATTAAGTCATTTGGTTGCGGTATACGAAGGAGTTCTGTCATCTGATAAAGCGCCCCTAGGTAGGGAATATGTGTGTGACATAGTCACTGGGTGCTGGAGGGAAGGCGCCGGAGGTCGACTGGACTTCAGTTCTAACAAGCATTTCATCTCACTTCTTCAAATACTTGTGCTTCTGCTGCAAGAAGACAAACTTATTCCCTGTGCCCTCTACTTTTAGTTTTCAATCCATTCACTTTGGAATCACCAGCAATACCTTCCATGTTTCTCCTGCCTCTATGTGTTCCCATGTGAGTCATCAGAATTTTTATTATTTGTGGTTTTAATAATACTTGGCTCATTCTCTGTTGTGTCTTTGGTCCGTTTAGGTTTTTGCCTCACAAAGACAGCACATGAGTGGCCTTTTCAGAACTGTGTGCTGCACAGACTTCCCTTTGGGTTACAGGGACAGAGTTCTAGAACAGCAGCGTCCGATAAAAATACAATTCAGGCTTCATCGTAATATTAAATTTTCTAGCAGCCACATTAAAAAACAGTAATTAAAATGTGACATTCTTTTCAATGTTTTATGTAACTCAGTATATTCAAAATAATATTTTAACATGTAATTCATATTGAAGATTGAGATACTTGTATTCTTTTATTAGATACTAAATCTTAAAAATTGGGTATGTGTTTCACATTACTGCATCTATTCAAAGGTCTGCCCTTACAGTGTAGTTTAGCCCTTACATTGTAGTTGGACAGTCAGTGATTTGATCCTTTTTGACAGTAAGCCTGTCCCATCGTTGTAAACTGTTGCCATTTTCATTGATCTGCAGCCATCCTTCGTCAACTCCACCTGTGTGTAAGCTCTGCAGTTCCTAACTGCCCATGTTTTATGAAACTGTGGTTTCAATTGGCATAGAGAAGATTGTGCTCAGTCTCATTATAGCATCTGTCACAATGCCTTGCTCACAATGGCTACTCAATAATATTTGTAGTGTGAATTAGGTACTCTTTATTCTAAATGGTCTCACATCTGTCTTCTTAGTTGAGCTCCTTAGATCACTGTGAAGTGAATAGGTGCAGTTTCTCCCTTATTTAACAGAAAACCGATTCATTTAGCCAGTGATTTACCTAGTCTCTCTGGACTCTGGTCTCCTGACATCGGTTCAATTCAGCAAGTACTTACCAAGTTCCAGTTGTTCTTCCTTCTTTATCTTCTTTAAGAGGTAAGCCGTAAAGCTATTGATGAATTTTTTTTTGGTAGTTGTAACATAAAAAAGAGTCATTTTAAAATAATT